TTTAATATTCATTTTAATGATCTAACTTAAAATGCCTAAAGGGATAGTTCACCCAAAAATAAAAACGCTGTCATTAATTACCCTAATGTCGTTCCAAACCCGTAAGACCTTTGCTCATCTTCGGAACACAATTTTAGATATTTTTGATGAAATCCGAGAGCTTTCTGATCCTGCATAGACAGCAACACAACTGACACATTCAAGGCCCAGAAAGGTAGTAAGGACATCGTTAAAATAGTCCATGTGACATCAGTGGTTCAACTGTAATGTTATGAAGCTAGGAGAATACTTTTTGTGTGCAAAGAAAACAAAAATAATGAGTAATTAATGACAGAATTTTTGGGCGAACTAGCGATTCCTTTAAACTAAATCAAGATAAACTGAAATCATATCCCCTCCCATTAATAACTAATTTATTCACAAAATTGATTGTGGTTAATAAATATATAGTTCTGTTAATGTGAGATTATATAGGGTCTAGTGGATGGCCTTCAAGTCAAAAAAGGTTGAGAACCACGTATCTTAATGCTAAGCACTTAATCAGAGTATTTCTTTTCTGCAATGAAATCCTGTTTTTAATGATTTTTCTTTTGGTAGGGGGGGCAGTCATAGCTTGTTTGAGGTTTTATTTTGTGTGTGTATTTTTGGGTATTGGGGGTCATTTTTGTACGTATATTTCAGGTGGTACCATTAGCTAACCTCATAGTGAAGGACACTCTAACAGATGAAGATGTGCTGACCTGTCAGAAAACAGTCTATAATCTTGTTGATATGGAGAGGAAGAGTGACCCTCTGCCCATCTCAACTGTAGGCTCCAGAGGAAAAGGACCCAAACGGTGAGAATATCACATCATGATTCAATCTATAGGTTTCAGTTTGTCTTGCTGTGTGGCTTTGGTTCAAAACCTAGTGAGCTGCCGTGCTAGCTACTGCCTACACTGTCAGCTGCTTGGAGCATGTTAACAGAAATGGAGATTTCATTAGTTTGCCAATACATGTTTGCTATGTATGTTAAGGCTGATGTTTTTATGTAAATAGTGATGAGCAGTATCGAATCATGTGGAATGAGTTGGAGACGTTGGTAAAAGCGCATGTGGGCACCAGTGAGCGGCATCAGCGTGTGCTGGACTGTATCAGTGCTTGCCGGAGCAAACCACCCGAGGAGGAGGAAAAGAAAAAAAGGGGAAGAAAGAGAGAGGACAAAGAGGACAAAACTGAGAAAAATGGCAAGGACACAGAGGAGAAGGGCTGGACCACAGACTCCGAGAGGTTGGTGTTAGTGAACAAGATGCTGACATTCACATTTACATCCATCAAGCTGCAGCTTGTAGATTAATGACTGTGGATTTCCTGATCTGTGTGTGTTTCTAATGTATGTGTCCTTTTTCCTCCTCCAGGCTGAAGGGAGTAATGGAACGAGAGAAGGATGAACCGAGTGAATGTGAGATCATCAAAGATTCACCAGATTCTCCGGAGCCCCTGAACAAGAAACCACGCTTGGCTACAGAGGAGCAACAGCCTCCAGAGAAATCTAAAGGTTCACATTTATGTTTTATTGTAAAATCAATCCTCTATTGTGATGTATGAATGCTCCTAATCTAAAAGCCTAAACCTAGCTTTACAAGATACAGTGTGAGATCACCAACATGTTCTACTAAAAGAATACACACACTTAAATGCACTGGCTGCTCCTGGTCCAATTTACAATGGTGATAAATGCTTTTTAACACTCACACCTATTAACGAGAAAACTAGTAAAAGAAGCGTCAGCTACGTCAGAACAGTCAAGTTACTTGTACAGCACGGCATCATTTTATGGTCAGGACTAGCTGCTACAAGCCAAGTCAGAATGATCGTCATCCCAAGTGAATAAACAGGCAAGTCAGAATGTGACATTATTAGGTACAGCAGCCAATCAGATCTATGACAAATAGAAACAGATGTTAAATATGGTCTCTTCTTTTGCAGGTCCTGTGTCTCTACTCACCCTTTGGACTAATAGAATCACTCAAGCCAACTCCAGGAAGCATCAGGAGTTTGCAGGAAGATTAAGTTCAGTCAATAACAAGGCTGAACTTTACCAACATCTGAAAGAAGAAAATGGGTGTGTTGACCTCACTGTTAGTCTCACTGTGTACCCTGTGATCACATTAATCAGTCTTTTTTTTTTGTCTACTCACTGTGTTTTGTTTATTAGGATGGATGTTCATGAGAATGGAAAAGCCACCAGATGATGTGTGGAACACGCCTCTTCTCATCTCTGCAGGATCATTGATTTGTTGAGAGGATGTGATGTGACCTTTGGCATGATATCAAATGATGTTTTTGCCAGGATGCTGGTTTTGTGTCAGACCAAGAAGAGAAAGGCAATGTTTTATAAGGACACACTTTTGATATGCTTTAGTTTGTACAAAGAGTCCGTAATATTCTGAAACAGAATAAAGAAATTGTAAACTGTGTTAATGTTCATGTTTGTGTCGATGTAAATGGTCTTTGATTAATGCTTATTTTCTTAATCATAGTTTATGTACTTGCCTGTACTGTATATCACTTAGATGTTCAGAAAGCATCACCACTTACCTCTGGAAATATCAAGGGATGGTAAATACACTTTTTTTTTTTTCATGAACCCCCGATTCCAACATGTTTTGTTAGCTTCCCTTCCCCAAATTGCACCTTCAATCCCTGCAGTCCTCATCCAAGTCCACATTTTGGTGATGTAATGGCAAACGTTCACTGTGGCCATATGAAGGCACTTTTGAGCACACCTTGGAAGCATAAAATAACAAAGGGGTACCTAAGGAGTCATGGACTGTACCAAATGTCTCATTTAACGTGCTAGTGGACTCACAATGGCCCCCATGAGCATGTCTTTTAAGTCAACACAACCATAGTGTCCCATTTGTCATTTTAGGTTTTAGAAAGCTGCTCAACAGCAATTCTTTGCAACTGATGTGTGCCCGCAATATGCACTTCATCTGGGCCCACACTGACATTCTACCCAGCAGTCAATGCAGCACTACGTCACAAAATCTGGACTTTGAGGAAGACCACAGGAGCTTAGGGTACTATTTGGGACAGGGCCATAGACATCAATAAGGAAAAGCTAGGAGTCCATATAAAAAGTGCCATTTGGGACAGGCTCATGCAAGACTTAAGGCAGAGTAGGTGATTTGGTTAAAACATTTTTGTTATGCTGGTTGAAAGTGTGTTCACATTCTGATAGCAGTCACAAAAGCGTAAGACCATAAAATGTTCGTCCAATTATATCCCTTGGTCCGAGGGCTACAATAGGCTGTCCTACCTACTTTTCAGCATATATATTTGCATACATCTACGCACCATGTTCGCGCACGTGATGCGTAATCGGCGTGTTCCATTTTGCAGACCGAGCAAGAATGGAAGGTGTTATTATTGTAATATTATGCGCTTTGTACTGTAATGTTTTCTTACCTGTGAATGAGCCATGAGGTAATCTGCCAGCATTGCATTCTACCCTCCACCAATGCCGTCTTTCATCGTGTCGCTGGTTAGCCTCTGGTCTGCCTAACTGCGTTTTCATGTGTTTTGTAGGAGGTGTGGCTTTGGAGAGTGATATGCAGGGAGGGTGGGATCTTATGCTTTCAAAGCTAGCTTGCTAATTTTAGCCTCTATGAAATTGCCTATCCTACCTTTAAAAAAGGCTTCAAAAGTGTGTTTGCTGGATGTGTTTTGACTCTGTAATGAACAGAAAGAGCAATCTGTTCAAGGACAGAGGAAGTTAGTGTCGAGTTTTCTGACTCCAGTGAGGAAGAGGCATCTGGTAGTGTTGATATATGCAATCCTAATGCTTGCTGTCAGACTCTGTGCACATATTGAGCAGAGGTGAAAGTGATTGTTTATGTGGGATTTGATTCCTGGCATGCAGTGCTTCTTTTCTCAGCAGAACTCTCCACCTATGCACTGAAGGAGCCTGCAGTCATTGGATCTGAGTAAAATCCATCCAACAGGGCAAAATAACTGCCCCAGGCTACTCTCTGCATTCTCAGTGCCTGCAGCTAAGACTTCTGCTGGGAAGCCATTAGGGAAATCAAGGTGTTTGAACTTAGTCAGGTCTTTAACCAGCTGGACACACTCATTAAGCGGAGACTGGAACTGTTCTGATATTTTTAGAACCAGCTGTGTGGTTGCTTTTTGTAACTGTTGCCAGGCTAAATTAATCACTAAATCTGTTCTACCAAAAATTAGCTAAACACAGAATAACACAATTGACCTGTTGTGTAAGAATTTTGCTAAGCACACATAAACATATTTGTTCTAGGTTGCTGACTGCCACAACCTAAAAAAAAAAAAAAAAGACACCGTAAACAGCAATGCTTTATTCTAAATTTATTTCATATTTTACAGTGTTACTGCACCTTTTCCACTGATGGCATAAATCGTTTATGCTGCTCGATAAACGTCAACATACATCATTTCAATGTGTTTTCCAGGCATCTGACACTTCTCAAGAAGGATGTAGTTTAATTAACATAATTTGTTAAAAATAGAGCTGAATCGAAGTCTGTTGCTCAAAGGAATTTTGGTACTGCATTAAAAGGTTAAAACTCGCGATCCAGAGATATCAAACCATGATGCCATTTGATTTTAACAACTTTCAGCTGAGCTTAATATTTTAGTCACACCCGTGTGCCTAGCAGCAGGTGATAGAATGCACACTGTTAATTTCTAATGCACACACATCAGTCCCAAACCTCAAGCCTGTTACAATTGCACAGATATTTATACAGGCATTTAGCGCAGTCCATGTTACACCTTAATACAGCCCAGTTGAGTATTACACCTGTATTAAGTGCCATGGGTGGATCCTCAGACCCCTCACACAAGCTTAAAACTGAACATCAGTGCATGCAGCCTAACAATGCTAAAAAATAAAAATTTTCCTTTATTTTAGCTGTTTAGAGAATGCTGTGCAATTTTTTTTAATCTATGTTAAAAATAGTCCTCTTTGCTACTTATTGATATGTTGCTATATGCTATTTACAACTTTAGTTTTTGTTTTTTTTCAGTAAGGCATGCTTCTCAAATGTTTCCCTCGTCACACAGAGATGACATTGTTCTTCAAGTCATGCGCCATTCAGACAGTCGAATGCTCGTTTGCAAATCATCCGAGCACCAGTTCTGTGTGAAATCAACACACGACTACTCAATTACACTACTAAAATCCTCAATAAATGTAGAAGCAGATGGTTTTTGTTTTGAATGTATAGCATGATGTGCAGCGCTTTAAACCAAACCTGTTTTTTGTTTTACTAAAAAATAAAATGATTCAGTCATCCATGAAGATCATGTTAATACTGGCTTTTGGCAAAATAGTGTTTTTGGAAAAAAATATCAGTAAGCTAACCAGTTAACAAAAATATAAAAACAAATTCAGAAGCTACTACAGCAAATATAAATGAGTACTTATACACACTTCCAAGAGCTCCTTGCTTATGTCCATATTAAATGTAAAAATAAAGTCATTTTGCATCTGTGTGAATGTAGCTTTAAGGGAAGCAGATGCTACTACAGTTAAACAATTTAAAAAAAAATCATGTCATCAACAATATTTTGGAGCTGCTTCCCTTTACACACACACAATTACAAATCTTTACATTCATGCAGCTATTCATGACTTCCAGAACACTTTGGTTTGATAAGAAATAAAGTTCTAAAAAAGATTTGTTTAAAATATATGCAACTGATGTGATTTTTGCTAGTATGTGGGAAAAAAGACAACTCTAGATAAGGATTTTAGTGGGATCAGCTAAATAAAAAAATAAAACTAAATATTCAGTGTCAGAAATAAACATGCATTTATTGGCCAAAAAGGTTCACTGAAAGCTTAAGCAGAACACGTTGATCTAGGCCAGTCATTACGACTTGTGCGTAACTACATTGTACTTGCATAATTTAAAAGGCTTCCTTTTAAAATTAAGCTGTTCAGCACAAAACCAGGTTCCATTGCTTCATTTTAAAAGGTTCCAAATTTCACTTGCCACAAGCTGCTTTCATGCAAAAACACCTCTCTTACTCACTCTCACATGGTTTTAAAATATTGCATGCACCTGCTTTCCTGATTAGTGCAATCAAACGCAGAAAATTATTCTTCAGCTTTTAAGATTTCAGTAAAATTCCACAGCAGATGTGTTGGCCAATAAAGTGCAAACTAAGGCGAAACCCCACCCCTTACTATGAGCTTTCATCACGACTATGAGCCATAAAATATAAACTGCATAATTTATCATCCTCAACGATCTCTTTGCATCTCCTTAAAATTCCTTCTGCTTGCATAATCGCATCGTGTATGAGGTTTACGGAGATTCAGAAACATTCTAGAAATGAAAGACATCATGATGCTGCATTTTCTAACTTGCTCCAGAAGTTTGATGGATTGAACGAAGGCTGAGGCAGCATGTATTCATGTATTCAGTTCAGTAGTTGCCATGTTCAAGACATATTCAAAGCCTTACTGCGCTTTGGGTCCAGTGAAACTGAGCATACATTCAGCTGGAGATGTCTTTGTAGGATTTAGAGAAAGCACTGATTGGGTTGGATTAGTCAAACAGCCATCAAGACGAAGCAATCATCACCGTAAAAAAAACACTCGCTGTTTGTTGATGAATCTGTAGAGCAAACAACAGATACCTCTGTAATTCTAGGGATTATGAGTCATGTGGGAAGTGCAGACTGTGTTTAAATGTTGATGCCCAGTGCAAAATCAGACATAGATGCCTTCTGGGTTAAAGGTCGTGTTCAGCGGGCTCTGCAGAGCTCGTAGGTCAGCAGGAAGTTGTCGAGCTGATCCAAGCCGCTTCAGAGATCCAGACTGATTTTCTGACTCTACAGAGATAAAACAAAGAGTGACTTTACTTGTAAAGAACTCTTTAAAATGGACACATTGTGCTTTAGAATTTAGAAACATACGTTACAGGTTGGTTACATTAGGTTAAATGAAGAACAAAACAGACAATATCTATGTTTATACCTGTGTTAGCTTCCTCCTCACCAGGGTCTGCTGGTAGAACTGTTACTTTGGTGCCAGTCTGTTGAATAAACTGTTGAAGGTTCACCTGCCTCAGTTCCTTAGTTAACTGTTCCAGCTCCTGCTCTCTCTCCTAAATGAAACAATCAAAATTGAAAAATTTTCACACTTTTTTTAAAGAAAGAGGAGGGCCAAAAGAGTATGCTCCAAAACCTGCCGTACTATAATTTGTTACTTTAACAGTTCAGATATAATTTAGTGCTAGAATTTAATACAAGTGTATCTGTGTTATGTTACGTAATGTTCCTGGTGAATGCAAACTGTACTGGGACATATCCTGCTCCTTCACTTCATCTGTAAGCTCTGGCAAAGATCTTTTACATAATATCCGTGACCATTACCCTCCACTCCCACCCAGCTCCCTTAACATGCTGCAAAGCCGATTAGTAGCATTGTTGGAACTTAAGGCCAAAGAGTCCAAAACAAAGCAGCTGCAGATCACAAGGTTTCAGCAAAGCCACGCTTGTACTGCATGGAACAAAGCACTGGCTATTCATTAGTACTTTGCTTCATAGGTTGTTTTGACACTTGGTTAGAGAACACTGGATTTACTACCAAAACTTTATATGCACAGAACAGCACTTAAGTATATCTATCATGGATGCAATGCAAGAGATGCAAAGATTGAAAGAACAGCTATGACAGGATTGTCCAATCCTGCTCCTGGAGGGCCAATGTCCTGCAGAGTTTAGCTCCAACCTGCACCAACACACTTGCCTTGAAGTTTTTAATGATCCTGAAGACCTGGTTCAGGTGTGTTTGATTAGGATTTAAGATAAACTTCGTAAGATAGTGGTTCTACAGGATTAGGAAAGGACAGCCCTGAGCTATAAATCTTTAAGAAATACATATACTATGTCATCTCTGCATGCTCCCCAAGTCATCAACAGTGATTCACTTCTGAAATTTTGTACAAATTGCTTTCATACCAACTGTGAACCATACTTGAATACTTGGTTTGCTGTTGTGCACCTGATTTTGGACAGCTTTACACTAACCAAATCGACAAGACTCACTCATGTCAAAGTAGATCTGGTCCACCCCAAAGGATTTACTTGTGAAAGCAACCTCAGTCAATTCTGATCACTTTAAACTGTTAGTCTAAGTAAATTGTGATCTTCCTTCAGGTGATCTCACCTGTAGCCTGATGTTCGACTGCCCAAGTGAGAGCTCCACAGCTCTACAGCTGCTCTCCAGTCTTGCAGCCTGCTGCACCTGTATGTCTAGCTCGGCACGAGCCTTGTCCAGTCGCGACCGGACTTCCATTTCATCCGCTAGCCGCGTCTCCATCAGCTCTTGTTGCAGGCGCTCTGCCTCCAGTCCTGCTTCCATGCACTGAATACGTGCCAGGTACTCTCCCAGCTGCTCCTCGCACTCCTGTACACGGCTGCGCAGTTCCTGCAGCTGCTCACGAAGTTGCCTCTCATTGTCCTGTTCAATCTTCAACTCATTCTCCCAGAATTCATGCTCCTTCATCTCCGCCTCATTCCTGCGGACCTGCTGCTCTAGTTTGACCAGCTCCTCTTCTTCTTCCTCCGTCAACTGCTGCTGCAACTCAGTCTCGCATCGTTGCAGTTTCTGCTGTAGGATGTGCAACTTGTCCTTCTGCAACTGCACCAGGCGGGACAGCTCCTGTGTAGGGGCCGGAGTGCTGCTGCGGTTTGTATTTACCACTCTCTGTTTGGTCTCACCTTCACGATTCTTCCCGAAGATCTCAAGTAACCCCTTTGCACCACCGGTGAAAGTGAGGGACTTGCGTTTTGGTTCACGTCGTTTGAGGGAACGGTCGTTGGCTGTGGGGCGGAGCTTTGCCATGGGAGGGAGACTTTGGCGGTATAAGCTGCGCTCTGGGGCTCTTGCAGAGGTGTCTGAGGTAGGGCGCTCACTCAGAGATGGGCCTGTACGTTGAAGCACCAACTGCACATCACTAGCGTACTGACCCCACTTATTCAGAGAAACTACAGGATTCTCATGGGGCGCCAGGTGCCTCTCTGTCTCGCGCCATTTTTCAATCAGCGTGTAGCGACCTGTCCGCCCTGTATGACAATATTTTTACATTAGCAATTTGAAGTGCAATTTCTGCATTAGCGTAAAAAATCTGAATTGCAAAAACAATGGTTGTATTCAAACAAGTTTCCCAAACATTCCTCCAATCTGTCATTAGTCAGCCAAACAAGTAGTCCCGCCCCAAAATCAGGCCACCGGTTGAGCCTCTGTTGCTTTGTCAGGATATTCAAACAAACACATGTTTATTGGCTGAGCCATATCTTTTACGCTCTTAGAGAGTGAACCTATCACTGACTTGCATATAGTTGATAGGACAAAAGCCTTGTTCAGACTGTCAGTTTAAATCCGATTTAGTGCATATCTGTTTGCAATCTGATCTAGACAACTGACTGTCCACACAGTGTATCGAACCGTTCATATCAATATGTGTGTCCAGAAGCGCCGTTTCATTTTACGGAATGTGCGTTGGTTTCTATGGCAATGCCACTGCATTGTTATGCCTACACTAAAAACAACAATAACAACAGTACAGTTTGCAAAACAGATGTTGTCTTACGACATTACTATGTTGCTATCACGCAGCTTTATATTTCATCTTATGAGGCAGTGGCAGAAATGCAGGAATCTGGAATGTGCGATTTTATTCTGTGCTGCCATCTCTGCTGGTTTCAAAACTCAAAACTAGCAGTAAATTGTATTTTTCCGCATGACTTGCACTTTGCAACAACACAAGCTTGTTTCTGCAAAGACATTAAGCATGTTTTCTACAAAAAACGTCTGACATGTTTACGTTTTATGTGGCATGCGCTAAATCCGATCTGACCCGTCAGACTAAAACGGATTTCCAGGAATGCAATTTGAATATGAATCCAAACCACGTATGAATGTAGCTCAAAGCGGATTAGCAAAAATGTCATGTAGTTTGTTGCCATTCAGAATATATATATATATATATATATATATATATATATATGATCGGATTTCAATAAGATTTGCACAAAAATTTTGTCTGACAGCCTGAACGAGGCATAAAATACTTTAACATTACACTACACTACATACTTTGACTTTAATAAAACTGTGTATGGCTAAACAGAGTAGCAAGCAGACATACAAGCTCATGACGACAAAAAGATTTAACTTTCCAAAGGAAATTCATCCGACATTCCCCAGAGACCAGGCGCCTCAGTAGCACAGAGATTGCACTTATTCATGAAATAATGGTCTAATTTTTTCTAGTATGGGGTGATAGGGTCGAACTCTGAGACTAGAAGGGACAATACTGCATTTCACTGCTCCCATCTCTGATCTCAAAGAGGGCTTGTTGTCAAGGAGACAACCATAGTGAGGGTTATGTTGCGTAAAAAACAGTGGAAGGGAAGAACAAAGGAGGAGGGAGCTTGGAAGGGAACATGCCAAAAACAAAAACAAAACAAAAAAAAGTTCTGTTAAAAATGGTACCATTGTGTAACAAGTTATCAGATTGTGTTTTGAGCATGCAAAAGTGACCAAAACCCTGTTTGGATCTCGATGATTAGGGTACAATGTGTTTAGTGTCTCACCTATTGCTTGGGCCAAAGCGATAACAACCTCTTGACATGTGGTGACTTCTGTGACCCCGCAGACGATGCGCTGCACTCCATCCACCCATACCTTCAGCTCCATGCCTCTCATCTGGATGTCATTCCTCACCTCTGCAGGCACCCGTTGCAAGCTCTCTGGTCTGCATGCCGCACTTATCACTGCTTGAAAGACCAAATAACTGTTTGTGCTAATTCCGCTTACATAAGGAATGGTTTAATCATAAATACCTCTCTGTATTCTTCAATAACAGTGACCTTACTAGCACTTGGTTCTTTATGATACTCCATCCATAGTGTCAGTCTGGCAGATGGCATCTTTAGTTCCTCGTGAAGGGAGGGTTTGGGTGCTGCAGTGCTAAAGTTTTACTCCCAGCTTGCTCACACAAGCCCTGATCTGTTATTATCCTCAAATCCGGCTCGCAAATCAATTTTCACTGTGGTTTGGCCTTTTGTTATCCTGTTGTTCTCTTAAGGATTGTGGCTAGTTGATGGACATCCTGTTTTTACCTACCCCACCACTTTATTCTGCCTGTCTGACTTGATTAAATTATTATTATTGTTTTGATTTAACAGTCTGATAGGAGTGAATTCATTCGTTTACATCAACTCACTTATATGTATCAGTGCTATGTATAGTCAGAATAGACAGTTGGAAAAAAAAAACTATTCAACTGCCCCCAATGGAGAACACTCTTAGCTAGGTATTTTGAGATTAAGACCCATACACAAATACCACACAGAATATATATTTAAAGCTCTCAATTTTAGATGTGTTGTCAGATAAATGTTATTTTTTGTTGTGCAAGTTTTATTTACTTCATTTTATTGTTAAGGAAAACTTTAGTATAGACTGATGCTTGTCCTCTGTGGTAGTGTACTGAGTGATCAGAGTGATTTATTTAGCCATGAACCACTCAAGCAGAAGAACTGGTCCAAACAGGCCTGTGTGAACAGTATGGATGGCGCCCACTCCCATGAGACACACTCATAAAGGATAAGTGAGATGAGCTGTACACCCTTGACAGGTAATAAGTCTAATAAGTGTGTGTTGTGAAGAGAGACAGTCCTCTGTTTGTCTCTCATTCTGTCTGTCTCCAGGAGTGTTTGGGCTGCTGAAATCTGAAGTGGTCTCTGATGGGCAGTGGGAAATATCTTGATATGCCATCTAACACCCAGCTGATATCCATGATAACTGGATATCAGCATAGTGCAATCAGTATGTCAACACTATGCAAATACAGTTTCAGCAAACCCCTAACCCTAATTATTAGACAGTTGGAAAAAAAAAAACTATTCAACTGCCCCCAATGGAGAACACTCTTAGCTAGGTATTTTGAGATTAAGACCCTTGCATTAAAAGATAAATTAAACAAAGCATACACAAATACCACACAGAATATATATTTAAAGCTCTCAATTTTAGATGTGTTGTCAGATAAATGTTATTTTTTGTTGTGCAAGTTTTATTTACTTCATTTTATTGTTAAGGAAAACTTTAGTATAGACTGATGCTTGTCCTCTGTGGTAGTGTACTGAGTGATCAGAGTGATTTATTTAGCCATGAACCACTCAAGCAGAAGAACTGGTCCAAACAGGCCTGTGTGAACAGTATGGATGGCGCCCACTCCCATGAGACACACTCATAAAGGATAAGTGAGATGAGCTGTACACCCTTGACAGGTAATAAGTCTTTCAGTGTGTGTGTGTTGTGAAGAGAGAAAGTCCTCTGTTTGTCTCTCATTCCCTCTGTCTCCAGGAGTGTTTGGGCTGCTGAAATCTGAAGTGGCCTCTGATGGGAAGTGGGCAATATCTTGATATGCCATCTCACACCCAGCTGATATGCATGATGGATATCTGTATCTGCATATGTCAACACTACGGAAATACAGTTTTAGCAAAGCCCTAAGTATTAAATTCCGGCACAGAAATCATCCCTAAATTTGTGCCATGGATATTGTAATACCTCACATTATGAAACCAGTTGAGGAAGGGTGCGATATGATGTTTTAAAGTTGTAAAGTAAAGACAGTATCGACAGATCTCTTCTTCCTTATTGTGATGTACATAGCAGTGAAACGAATCGAAAAGGGGAAAAAAAGAAGGTCGGGGACTTGGTTCTGCCCATCAGTTGCTGATTGAATGGAGGCAGTTCTGAATGCAAGCTTGTAGTCTGTCGTATAAAAAAAGCGGGTTTAAGTAAACTAAATGGTTGTAGATGGCCAGCCAATGTGAATCATTCTCAATAAGATGAATAAGATACATTTACAAAATAAGGTACATTTCCATTTCATGTCAACTTTAAATGATTAGATTACCAATTTTGGGAAATCCCAAATTGAAGGAGGTATCCAAGCAAGAATAACAGAGACAGAGGGTTGGGTTCTTTTCACTTGTGCCAGTACGCAACCATCTATAGCAACCACAAGGAACACCCTAGTTACCACCTTGAAAAGCACTTAAAACTACTTAGAACTGCTTGGAAACCACCCACAACATCCTAGATTTTGCATGGGCAAGCATCACTCACATTTTCTAAATATCTTGTTTTAATTATGTCCTGGTGTGTGTTTTGATACTCTGATATCATGTTCTAATCAGTCTTTCTTGGGCAGAGACCTCAGGCCAGGAAGTGTAATCATTCACTTCTGCTTTAGAAATCTCTCATGAGCTTGTTAGTTCAGTCCAGTCCTACCCGTTCAGCAAAGCAGCATACAGTTGTTTTCTTGTATGTTTTAAACACTGCATCAAGCCCTACCCTCCAACAATATTATGTGTCAGCTGCAGAATCTGTGTTTAACTGTATATACATGATACAGGCATCTGCCCCAGACGAGCTTCGGCTCCATGACCTGGGGCTAAATTTAACGAACTCAAGGCTTTGGCGGCCTGTCAGTATAAGGTACAGCCAAGACAGCTGCTAAAGGAGACGTAATGCATCTAAACTCACATTCCAGTCGACTCACGTCTGACGTCTGTAAACACAGATCAGCACAGCACATATGGCTGTATGCTACAGTAACCCCATCGGGTGTAACGGTCCCTGCATGCTGTAGCACTCTCACATGCTCTGTCATGTCAATGATGTCCATTCTGCTATACTAACTCAGGGCTGTTGAATATAACAGTTTATTAAAGTTTATAAAACTACTCAGGCTAGCTGTCATATTTGTTGACACAAAACTAAGAGGTGAGGGCTGGCAGTACACTCCATTTAATATGTTGTTTTGTTGTAAAATGTAGTGTTTATTGTTTATTCAGCAAAATTTGTCTCAGATTAAACATGGTGTCTACCTTGACTAGGGTCAGTACAACATATTCCAGATCTTTCAACAGGTCTGCTTTTGAGATGAAAAATGTTGTCTAGCATTTCACTCGCTGTAATTCTTGGAGTTTTATCTACAGCACTTGAAAAACTCCTCAGGACCCTAACGGCGTGTGTGGACTGTAGTGGGGGGCTGTTCTAACAAGGGTCCAGACAAACACAAAGGTCCGCTGGAGAGACGCCCACCCCTGCATGCCTCACAGTATGACTGGACACAAACAATCCATCTCCATAGTGATGCTTTCACAGCTTTGTGAATTTCTCACATGGCCGGCTGCTTGGGAACTAACAAACACAAGCAATTAAGGAACAATCTCTTTATTTTAACTTTTGTCCATGTTCCACTGTAAAACTTTGTCCTGTCAGGGGTTCCCAGCTGAACAACGCACCAATGAGTCACAAACTGACACTGAATTGAACCCATTTAAAATGAAATTGTTTGTCAGTAGAGTATCTGTTGAGGATGAGAAACCCTGAGTACGATTCATTAACTCAAAGTAACTTCAATCTGAGGCGAATATGTCACAGTAATTGGCTTTATCACATACAATGTGGGGGAAGGAATGCTGGATATATGCATACCTTGCAGGTCAACACAAAGTTTATATAGTTATTTGAACCAAATTAAAATTCTGCTTTTGAGCAAGAGAGAGCTCAGTCTTGTTTCTCTCTAAAACATTTTCCTTCGGCATTCCTTGTTAATACAAGAATTATGTTTAATCAACCCTTTGTGTTTTCTTTAGATAGTTTGACAGGCATTGCTAGTGACCTTTGCCATTGCATGGGCATTTAAACAATATAAAACTAGATTTTTACATTTTCTAAAAGCTTGTCCATAGAAAAAAAAACCTCACCAACATAATACCAGGGTTTTGTAGTTATTCTAGTGCACTACTATATGGTATAAAGTGTTCAGAGTGGTTTTTAATGTTTTTCTGTGTTTATTAGGGTGTTCTGGTTGGTTTCAATGTTGTTGCTTACAGGCCCAGATCACACCTTAAAGGGATAGTTCACCCAAAAATGAAAATACTGTCATAATTTACTCACCCTCATGTCGTTCCAAACCTGCAAGACCTTCCATTCATCTTCAGAAAACAAAGATATTTTTGATATCTTTATTTTGATATATATTTTTGACAGACAATAGACAGCAATGCAACTGACATGTTCAAGGCCCAGAAAGGTAGTAAGGACATCGTTAAAATAGTCCATGTGACATCAGTAGTTCAACCTTAATGTTATGAAGCTTCGAGAATACTTTTTGTGCACAAAGAAAACAAAAATAATGACTTTATTCAACAATTTCTTCTCTTTTGTGTCAGTCTTTGACGCATATTCACAAGAGTACCACGGCGCATGCATGTGGTGCTGCTGATGTGGGAGCTGGGGGCTCTCGGATTTCATCAAAAATATCTTATTTATATGTGTCCTGAAGATGAACAAAAGGTCTTACGGGTTTGGAACGACATGAGGGTGAGTAATTAATGACAGATTTTATTTTTTGTGCGAACTATCCTTTTAAGTATGTTTGATATTCTGGCTCCTAGAAATGACTGGTGTTCTTCCTTCAGTGAAAGACAAGTCTGTGTTAATTTCGCCATATTTATCTTCTACCAATCTGAACGCTTAGTCAAGTAATAGCACACCTCTCCGCAACACAATTTGAGGTGTCACTGAAAGCACCAATTATTTAGTTGTTTGGTCACCAATCATTTGTTGTTGTTCTGTCTTATCCGTTTCTTTTTAGACAGTAAAACAACAGTCTAGGCAGCGTTGCCACTTTGCAGACAAACTAATTAGTGCAAAATAAGCTGAACATACAGAGTATGTGCAGTTAGAAAAATTGTGTATGCGTGCAGTATCTATACTATGCTGATTATAAAATTAATTGCATATTGTGCAGTGCACATACCCTAACCTTCATGTAAACAGTCATTATTTTCTTATTGCACAGCAGACAAACCCCTTCATTTCCTTGAGTTGGACAGTGTGGGTTCAAAAGTGGGAAGTGAACTGTCTGTGAACTGTCTTGTGTCCTGTGGTTACACACATACTGTATGCACAGACCAAACATTTTTGGCATTTTATAAACAAACAATGTGTTGAACTGGAAATCGGTGGGTGCAGACCTCGTCTGCCTACTAGTACCCCATCAAAAGTATAGAACAGCTTTCTGCAGCCTACATAAGATCCTGATCTGCATTGCCATGCATTTATGATCATGCATTTATTCATGATATTACATGTACATCTGTCAGCACAGTTCTGTCTCACTGCCTCTGTACTGTTGTCTACTCCGTCCGCCTTCACTCAGCTCTCTATTGCTTTCTCCTCCCTTCATTGGTAGGTCTTGCTCTGGAGTTATTTAGCACGCTGATGATATCCACGGTCAGCAGATTTGATCAGTGGGTGTTTGATGAGCCAGCTGTTGTCATATAAGACTGTGTGTAATGAGTGGCTGAGGCATGTGTAATCGGTTGTGAGTGAGTCATTTCTATGAATGAGGCATGTGTAAACAGATCTATAAGTGAGGCAGAGGAAGGTGGTGTCCGAAAGCTAAAAAATACACATACAAATCCTGTGCTGCACAATATCCTGAGGCGAATATGTCACAGTAATTGGCTTTATCACATACAATGTGGGGGAAGGAATGCTGGATATATGCATACCTTGCAGGTCAACACAAAGTTTATATAGTTATTTGAACCAAATTAAAATTCTGCTTTTGAGCAAGAGAGAGCTCAGTCTTGTTTCTCTCTAAAACATTTTCCTTCGGCATTCCTTGTTAATACAAGAATTATGTTTAATCAACCCTTTGTGTTTTCTTTAGATAGTTTGACAGGCATTGCTAGTGACCTTTGCCATTGCATGGGCATTTAAACAATATAAAACTAGATTTTTACATTTTCTAAAAGCTTGTCCATAGAAAAAAAAACCTCACCAACATAATACCAGGGTTTTGTAGTTATTCTAGTGCACTACTATATGGTATAAAGTGTTCAGAGTGGTTTTTAATGTTTTTCTGTGTTTATTAGGGTGTTCTGGTTGGTTTCAATGTTGTTGCTTACAGGCCCAGATCACACCTTAAAGGGATAGTTCACCCAAAAATGAAAATACTGTCATAATTTACTCACCCTCATGTCGTTCCAAACCTGCAAGACCTTCCATTCATCTTCAGAAAACAAAGATATTTTTGATATCTTTATTTTGATATATATTTTTGACAGACAATAGACAGCAATGCAACTGACATGTTCAAGGCCCAGAAAGGTAGTAAGGACATCGTTAAAATAGTCCATGTGACATCAGTAGTTCAACCTTAATGTTATGAAGCTTCGAGAATACTTTTTGTGCACAAAGAAAACAAAAATAATGACTTTATTCAACAATTTCTTCTCTTTTGTGTCAGTCTTTGACGCATATTCACAAGAGTACCACGGCGCATGCATGTGGTGCTGCTGATGTGGGAGCTGGGGGCTCTCGGATTTCATCAAAAATATCTTATTTATATGTGTCCTGAAGATGAACAAAAGGTCTTACGGGGTTGGAACGACATGAGGGTGAGTAATTAATGACAGATTTTATTTTTTGTGCGAACTATCCTTTTAAGTATGTTTGATATTCTGGCTCCTAGAAATGACTGGTGTTCTTCCTTCAGTGAAAGACAAGTCTGTGTTAATTTCGCCATATTTATCTTCTACCAATCTGAACGCTTAGTCAAGTAATAGCACACCTCTCCGCAACACAATTTGAGGTGTCACTGAAAGCACCAATTATTTAGTTGTTTGGTCACCAATCATTTGTTGTTGTTCTGTCTTATCCGTTTCTTTTTAGACAGTAAAACAACAGTCTAGGCAGCGTTGCCACTTTGCAGACAAACTAATTAGTGCAAAATAAGCTGAACATACAGAGTATGTGCAGTTAGAAAAATTGTGTATGCGTGCAGTATCTATACTATGCTGATTATAAAATTAATTGCATATTGTGCAGTGCACATACCCTAACCTTCATGTAAACAGTCATTATTTTCTTATTGCACAGCAGACAAACCCCTTCATTTCCTTGAGTTGGACAGTGTGGGTTCAAAAGTGGGAAGTGAACTGTCTGTGAACTGTCTTGTGTCCTGTGGTTACACACATACTGTATGCACAGACCAAACATTTTTGGCATTTTATAAACAAACAATGTGTTGAACTGGAAATCGGTGGGTGCAGACCTCGTCTGCCTACTAGTACCCCATCAAAAGTATAGAACAGCTTTCTGCAGCCTACATAAGATCCTGATCTGCATTGCCATGCATTTATGATCATGCATTTATTCATGATATTACATGTACATCTGTCAGCACAGTTCTGTCTCACTGCCTCTGTACTGTTGTCTACTCCGTCCGCCTTCACTCAGCTCTCTATTGCTTTCTCCTCCCTTCATTGGTAGGTCTTGCTCTGGAGTTATTTAGCACGCTGATGATATCCACGGTCAGCAGATTTGATCAGTGGGTGTTTGATGAGCCAGCTGTTGTCATATAAGACTGTGTGTAATGAGTGGCTGAGGCATGTGTAATCGGTTGTGAGTGAGTCATTTCTATGAATGAGGCATGTGTAAACAGATCTATAAGTGAGGCAGAGGAAGGTGGTGTCCGAAAGCTAAAAAATACACATACAAATCCTGTGCTGCACAATATCCTGACTACTAAGATGACTCTGTCTGGTCTATTTTTGATGGGTCTTGCCCTGCCTGCTGCGTCTGAAGGAGTGGTTGGAAGCTGTATGTTGAAAATGAACTAACGTACTAAAAATTTCAACTAACAGTTCAATTTTGACCAAGAAATAAGCAATGTGTTCATTAAATATTCGCTTGGTTATTTGTTCTAGATCATCATATGTGATAATAAGATGCCTCTTGAAGTTGGTCTTGAGCCCGTTTCCCTAACAGACAACAGTTTTAGTAAGAAGGCACCCTTTGGTTTCACACACAAAATTTGAAATGAGGGGTGAATTTATCATAATTGTCAGTAAAATTGAGAGAGTGGACATGGAGAAAAATCTGATGCAGTTAAACAGAAATTCAAACCTGTTGCAAAGCACATTACCTTAATAACAAAGGCAACAGTTTGGCCTCTACTGCATATTCTTGTGTAAGTTCTGATAGTCGGTTTATGTAATCAAATCAGCTTAACAAAAACAGTCTTATCTATTAATAAGAGTGCATATAACTTTGCAGTTTGTATGACATTAAGTAAACTTCAAAGGTGTTGGAGCCAGAGTTATGTTCAGTTCATAACTTTATATAATGCCTAATTCATTATACAATGTAATTTACTACCCACCTTATTTTTAACATAAGAGCAGGTGTGGCATTTTTAACTTTTCATCAGCCACTTCTAGTTGTTTTAGGTGTACAAAAAGAGTCTGTTATGCAGCTTGATGTTGCAAATGAGTATTTTTTATTTTATTGTTTTATTATCAATATCCTACATTTATTTATTACTGCACTTTGTTAGTGTTTTAGTTATTTACAAATAGAAGCTAGTGAATCAGAAGTCTCACACAATCACAAAACATTACTATTTGTATGCATTTCAATAATTGCATTGTCAGGAAAATTTGATTCAAATATTTTCACACATTCATATTTCAATATACACTACCAATCTGATGAACATTAAGTGAGGGCTGGTTGTGGCACTTTTGCTCCAGTGAATGTTTTACTAAAGGTAGATGAAAATACACAATAGAGGGGCATGTTGTAAACTATATGCTGTAAGTCACAATGGACCCTAAATAGCTTAACGTGTTTTGATTCAAAACCTTATGAATAATCAGAAACAACCACTGTGACAATTAGCCCTAGTCTCCCTTATAATGTCTAATAATGACTCATTAATTAAACATACTATAAAGCCTTAGTGTTTATGGGATGCAGACAGTGCTGTATGTTCGTAAGTTTAGGAGGGGCTGCAGGCCTGCTGCTGATCTGGTGGAAAACACTGACCATCACACTGTCATGAACCGCGTTGAAACGCATATCAGTAGATCTGGGCTGCTGATAAAAGCCCTGCCATTGACTGCACACAGTATCGTGTCATGCGTCTGTTCTCCTGCGCCTTCATGTAACGCGTCCCGTCGCAATTATTTCAAGATGCCCCATGAAAGCACATTAAATACATGTCGCCCATCTCTCGGGCTTTCACGACGGTCCAAAACACGGTTTATTTAATATAATTTCTGTACCTGCGTGTGTCTGCAGTCCCAGACCGCCACAATCCTCAGTCCGGGTCTGTTACTTCGCTCCGCCAGAGAACCCAGATTTAAGCAGATGGTGTGGTTTTCCTTTTAATGTTTCGTAAAGACGCCCTTCGTCCGATGTCCGTAAATGTAGTCCGGTTGAGGTCCGTTAGGAGGGTCCGCTCGCTGAAGTTCAGTCAGTGTGGCCCGTTACATCAGCAGCAGCGGCAGTAAAAACAGTGCGCGGGACACCGCAAGGCATCATGGAGCGAGCACTTTAAAGCTGCACAGCCCACACTGAACAAGCCTGCTCAGTCACACACACACACACACACACACACACACTGCATGTACCGCACGTTTAGGGGTTATTTGGCAAAGTCTGGATTTTATTAATGTAACAAATTGTTAATGCTTTCACATCTTTTATCAATTAATTATTCATTATCGATATAGCCTAGCCTATACTATTTATTAATAAGTGCATTGAGCATGATATGAATGAATCACACTCATTTCTACTTGTTTGATGTGCATTTATTAACTGTTAAGTATCATACAACGCTCATTTAGTTTAATATGTTTTTTCATTTTAATATATAGTTAATTAAATGAACAAATTCCTCGGTTTATTTATATATTTAAATAAGCTGTTCCTTGACTTTTGAAACATGAGAAAGGTTTTTGTGTGTGTCTCACTTTAGAATTCTTATAGTGTGTGTGTGTGTGTGTGTGTTTGTGTGTGTGACTAGAATTCTTATAGTTGCTCCATTTTGCTGAAATACTAATGCATTAAATCTCTTGAAATTACTTGAAGTTTATTTACTTTTCTGCTTAGCAATAGGCTACTGAGATTAAATTATTGCAGAAAGTACATTGAATTGCAGAAAACAACATAAATACAAAATACCAGAAAAGTATCAAAACAAATATTCAAAACATTTTCAATAATACTATAATAATTATACTATTTTAATTATATGCACATATATACATATACATCTGTCCATACATAGACAAAATATACATCCATTCACACACACACACACACACACATACAATAAAAAAATAAAATAAAATTGTGGAAAAATTGTCATACAAGTGCAAATGCAAAAAGGACCCTAAACATACACATTTTATTAATTGAACAATCTAATACCAAAAGGAATGGTAGAACTAGCACAACGTTACTTGCAATAAATATTTATTAATCATCCTTAATTTTATATATATATTTGGCCTATTATTTGCAGGTAACAAAATGTATTATTTTATTTAAAAAATGTATGATTTATATAATGTTTTAATAAAAGCATGTGCTGAGTGTCATTGCTCTAGCTTGCCTTGTTTGTGATTGCAGAGATTTACTGCATTTAACCTGACTTGTTGTTATTATTAACCCTGGCCTCCCCTATTATAACTTAACAAAATGGTGCCATGGAACATGTTAAATAACACCAACAGAGCAAAAGTTGATCTTTGACTGTGCTCTTAACTCATTTTAGTAATAATATCTCATAACAATAACAAACATGATATGTTAGTAATGTATATCATGCCAAATGCATTACTGTGCTGCATTTACCTGCAGTGTACTTGTAGCCCTGATTACTGTGGATCAGTTGTTAAAAAAAAAAAGAATCTTCTTTAATGTACTTTTACCCAGAATTTACCTTGAAAAGGAGAGACACTTTTTGACCACTCACATCAGAGTGCATTGTAAATGTGTCCATGTGGAGAAATTGTCATAAAGCTCAAAATAGTGGATTAGTCTGTGCACTAAATGCCTGGATGAGGTCTGTTTATCATGTGAAATCTGTCCAGCCTATGATGAGATTATCCACGCAGAAATCTGTGATCTATTAGTGTGTGTTCACATGGCCTGCAATCTGTTTCTCATAGAAACCTTCTGCTGACCTGCTTCCTCTAACACAAGTGTTCTGTGAGGATATTGAACAACATAACTTAGACATGAGGTGAAGCAAATATCCATAGACTGAAAATACTAGTCAGATGTGAGACTACAACATGTCACATTTTTCATTATTGTAAAATATGAATGTGTTTTTCAATGGTATATAATACTTAACATTTCTAAATAAAAAAAATCTGTAATCTGTAAAGTCTGTAATCTCTGTAAAATAATTAAAATGAGCTTTCTTTTAATTATAAACGGCTGTTTGGTTCCACCACACCAGCGTTGAGAAAAGTAACAGGTAGCGCGTAACAAACTAGTATCAATCTGGGACACTTAGGCATTAAGAGCAGAAGCCTCCTGAAAGCACCAACCCAACCCAAGCACTTTAAAGCTGCACAGCCCACACTGAACAAGCCTGCTCAGTCACACACACACACACACACACACACACACAGTGCATGTACCGCACGTTTAGGGGTTATTTGGCTTATTTGGTTATTTATAAGTCTGTGGATTTTATTAATGTAACAAATTGTTAACGCTTTCACATCTTTAACCAATTAACTATTCATTATTGATATATTGCCTACGCTAGCCTATACTATTTATTAATAAGTGCATTGAGCATGATATGAATGAATCACACCCATTTCTATTCGTTTGATGTGCATTTATTAACTGTTAAGTATCATACAACGTTCATTTAGTTTAATATGTTTTTTATTTTAATATATAGTTAATTAAATGAACAAATTCCTGTTTATTTATATATTTAAATAAGCTGTTCCTTGACTTTTGAAACATGAGAAAGGTTTTTGTGTGTGTCTCACTTTAGAATTCTTATAGTGTGTGTGTGTGTGTGTGTTTGTGTGTGTATGTGTGTTTGTCTATAATTCTTATAGTTGCTCCATTTTGCTGAAATACTAATGCCTTAAATCTCTTGAAATTACTTGAAGGTTGAAGTTTATTTACTTTTCTGCTTAGCAATAGGCTACTGAGATTAAATTATTGCAGAAAGTACATTGAATTGCAGAAAAAAACATAAATACAAAATACCAGAGAAATTTAAAAACAAATATTAACAAATATAAAAATTTTCAATAATACTATAAGATGCATATGCACATATATACATATACATCTGTCCATACATAGACAAAATATACATCCATTCACACACACACACACACACACATAAAATAAAAAAATAAAATAAAATTGTGGAAAAATTGTCATACAAGTGCAAATGCAAAAAGGACCCTAAACATCCACATTTTATTAATTGAACAATCTAATACCAAAAGGAATGGTAGAACTAGCACAACGTTACTTGCAATAAATATTTATTAATCATCCTTAATTTTATATATATATTTGGCCTATTATTTGCAGGTAACAAAATGTATTATTTTATTTAAAAAATGTATGATTTATATAATGTTTTAATAAAAGCATGTGCTGAGTGTCATTGCTCCAGCTTGCTTTGTTTGTATTTGCAGAGATTTACTGCATTTAACCTGACTTGTTGTTATTATTAACCCTGGCCTCCCCTATTATAACTTAACAAAATGGTGCCATGGAACATGTTAAATAACACCAACAGAGCAAAAGTTGATCTTTGACTGTGCTCTTAACTCATTTTAGTAATAATATCTCATAACAATAACAAACATGATATGTTAGTAATGTATATCATGCCAAATGCATTACTGTGCTGCATTTACCTGCAGTGTACTTGTAGCCCTGATTACTGTGGATCAGTTGTTAAAAAAAAAAAGAATCTTCTTTAATGTACTTTTACCCAGAATTTACCTTGAAAAGGAGAGACACTTTTTGACCACTCACATCAGAGTGCATTGTAAATGTGTCCATGTGGAGAAATTGTCATAAAGCTCAAAATAGTGGATTAGTCTGTGCACTAAATGCCTGGATGAGGTCTGTTTATCATGTGAAATCTGTCCAGCCTATGATGAGATTATCCACGCAGAAATCTGTGATCTATTAGTGTGTGTTCACATGGCCTGCAATCTGTTTCTCATAGAAACCTTCTGCTGACCTGCTTCCTCTAACACAAGTGTTCTGTGAGGATATTGAACAACATAACTTAGACATGAGGTGAAGCAAATATCCATAGACTGAAAATACTAGTCAGATGTGAGACTACAACATGTCACATTTTTCATTATTGTAAAATATGAATGTGTTTTTCAATGGTATATAATACTTAACATTTCTAAATAAAAAAAATCTGTAATCTGTAAAGTCTGTAATCTCTGTAAAATAATTAAAATGAGCTTTCTTTTAATTATAAACGGCTGTTTGGTTCCACCACACCAGCGTTGAGAAAAGTAACAGGTAGCGCGTAACAAACTAGTATCAATCTGGGACACTTAGGCATTAAGAGCAGAAGCCTCCTGAAAGCACCAACCCAACCCAAGCACTTTAAAGCTGCACAGCCCACACTGAACAAGCCTGCTCAGTCACACACACACACACACACACACACACACAGTGCATGTACCGCACGTTTAGGGGTTATTTGGCTTATTTGGTTATTTATAAGTCTGTGGATTTTATTAATGTAACAAATTGTTAACGCTTTCACATCTTTAACCAATTAACTATTCATTATTGATATATTGCCTACGCTAGCCTATACTATTTATTAATAAGTGCATTGAGCATGATATGAATGAATCACACCCATTTCTATTCGTTTGATGTGCATTTATTAACTGTTAAGTATCATACAACGTTCATTTAGTTTAATATGTTTTTTATTTTAATATATAGTTAATTAAATGAACAAATTCCTGTTTATTTATATATTTAAATAAGCTGTTCCTTGACTTTTGAAACATGAGAAAGGTTTTTGTGTGTGTCTCACTTTAGAATTCTTATAGTGTGTGTGTGTGTGTGTGTTTGTGTGTGTATGTGTGTTTGTCTATAATTCTTATAGTTGCTCCATTTTGCTGAAATACTAATGCCTTAAATCTCTTGAAATTACTTGAAGGTTGAAGTTTATTTACTTTTCTGCTTAGCAATAGGCTACTGAGATTAAATTATTGCAGAAAGTACATTGAATTGCAGAAAAAAACATAAATACAAAATACCAGAGAAATTTAAAAACAAATATTAACAAATATAAAAATTTTCAATAATACTATAATAATTAAAGATGCATATGCACATATATACATATACATCTGTCCATACATAGACAAAATATACATCCATTCACACACACACACACACACACACACACACACATACAAACAATTTCTTGCAATTATAAACGGCTGTTTGGTTCCACCACACCAGCGTTGAGAAAAGTAACAGGTAGCGCGTAACAAACTAGTATCAATCTGGGACACTTAGGCGTTAAGCGCAGAAGCCTCCTGAAAGCACTAACCCAAACTCATATAAAATATTCATTTTTATGTTACAGTGACGGGAGAAAGGCTTTAAAATAACTCCTCCGCTAGCTAGATACTGAAGTGCAGTTTGCCATCCGCTCCACTAGAGGCGTAAGCACAAACATATATATTAGTGCTATCAAACCATTAATCGCGATTAATCGCATTCAAAATAAACGTTTTTGTTTACATTATATATGTATGTGTACTGTGTATATTTATTATGTATATATAAATACACATACAGTATATTGAAAATATTTACACGTTTATACATTTATATATTCATATTCGTATATTTTATATTATATATAAATATATTTAATATATAAACATAACATATTTTTCTTAAATATATACATGCATGTGTTTGTATTTATATATACATAATACAAATACACAGTATACACACATATTATGTAAACAAAAACTTATTTTGGATGCAATTAATCGCGATTAATCGTTTGACAGCACTATATATATATGTGTG